TTTTTCGTAGAAATAATATGCTGACCTTTCCATCAATTTTCATTTTTGAATCTTTGTCCTTCTTAAAAAAAAATAACAATGTTTCATATTAGAGAGTCGTCTCACCACAGCTTCAATCTTAGAAGGAACTTTGACCTACATATTCCACTATCTCGTACCACTTTTCTTAAAAACTAGTCTTCTCCATTGTGTATCCGACTTTTTAATTCTCTTCCTAATGCAATCAAGGGCGAAAAGGATAAAAAAAAATGTAATCATAGTTTGAGGGAATATTTAGTTGATAAGGAATTTTACAGTGTATCTTCGTTTTTAAAATGTAAATAGATTTTACCTTTTGAAGTTTGTGTCTTTATTTAAATGGGTCTGATTTCACTTGTTTAGTTCTAGTGACTTTTGCCATGTACATTTTTGTATTATCATGGCAGTAAAACTATTCTGATTCCGATTCTATCTATCAACTTAAACAATATTGTTGTGGTTTTCTCTGTTACATCCCTTTTTCAGCCTAATCAAGTGAATTTTACTATTGAGGTGTCGTTGTAAAGCTTATAATCTTGAGCAGGGTAAGGAATGGGAAGCAAATGGGTTCCTTTAGGGCTTTGCTCCATGTATTTGATTTTTTTGCTGTTTGCTTTCAAAGATTCAGTTATGATGACTTTCATAACTTTTTCAATGTTAATTTAAATTTGAACAGCTGATCTATAGTTGTAAGTCAGATTGTAAATAAAGGTCAAAACAATTTTAATTATACTACTTTTTATGACTGCAACTTGGTTGAGGTAGGTAGGTAAATCACTCTTCATGTTGTAGATTTAAAGCCAAAAATTGTATTCCCCTAATAACCGTCTTACAGTAAACCACATAATCTTTGAAAATTAAAAGGGCATGGGTCTTCCTAGTTTATTATTGTTTAAGTTGTTTTAACAGCTTTATTGGCAGTATTTAAAACATTTAAATCCTACTTCTGTGTTAGCCTAAATTTTGAAAAGTAATGCTACTTGGGCACCTGCTAAGTTTATTTGACTTGATAAGTTAAAACCCACTTATCTCTCGACTACTTCAACTGTTGGCTAATGTTGGAGAAGTTATAAGCTGGAGGTTATTAAACACAATTTTATCCCTGTTAAACTTTTTATTTTTTAGTAAATTAAATGATCTGACAACTTTTTGAAAAGGAAATTTCTAAAATCAATTGAGAAAATTCTTCTTGCTTTGGTGTCCACTATATTTTTTTACATAAGCTGTAACCAGCGTTAGATTTATTGTAAGTGGTGAAGAACTACTTACAACCTGTTGAGAACTATGAAACAAATTAGTAGAACCACTCTAAACTAAAACTTAAATTAGAGTCAATATCCAATATTTAAAACAATTATGGCACATGGCTCGGTTTTTATTTAGGCCTATTTTTAAAGATAGTCCAAAACCTTTGGTAGATTATATCCAATTGTTATAACTACATGTGTTCAATCTTATTGGTCATTGATGTGTTTGTTGTGGATTTTATTACAAAGAATATTTTTCCACATTTTGCAACACTTAGTTTCATAAAATGGTTTATATTACCTGTCCCGTCAGTGGTCCTATTATTGTCGTCTTAGGCGACCGGTTTCGAGATTAAAATCCCATCACCATGCTGTTACAGTTGAACCTCGTTTGTACGAACCTCGATAAAACGAATTCCTCGATAAGACGAATGTTTTTAAATCCCCCTGACACTTTCATATAGGTCAATGCTAAAAACACCTCTATACAACGTAGTAATTAAGTTAAAAACCTCCATAAGACGAATTTGTTTGTGACATGGGCTAGGACTGATTAACCTCTATACAACGAATATTCTTAGCACAAAACCTCTACAAGACGAACGTGACCTCTATAAGACGAATTTATCATAATCTTAACCTCCATAGTACGTAGTTTTCAAAACAAACAGAAGCTTGTCTCAACATGAAACCTCCACCCATCCCTCCTCCTTCCTCAGTCATTGTTTGAAGAAACCTTGGAGCAAGGAGAAACCTCTATAAGAAGAATAACAGCAGCATTAAACCTCGATAAAACGACCCTCTTTATTAAGAATACCTCTATAGTACGAATTTTTCCCGTACCCCTTGAAATTCGTCTTATAGAGGTTCAACTGTATAAAAATGTCATGTCACTCAAATTGAGGTCGTCGGTAAACACAAAAACACACACATACAACACGAAACACGAACATACAGATTAACATTGCTACTGGCCAGTACAGGACACTACGACGCGGCACGGGTAGATGCATGGTCATGACTCAATACTTAGTTTTAGTTGACGCGTACTTAGTTTTATCCAACAAATGCAAGGTTATCCTGCCAAAAAAATATTAAGCATATTTACTTTTCTTTGTCAATTGTTGAAAAATAAAAGCTAGAAATTGAAAATCCAATACAACAATTATAACCTTAAGAAATAAATTGAGGTATTTAAAATTCACACTTTTAGTTTTATGGTTTTAAAGAAAAACTCGCTTCTCAAGCCACTAAATAAATACACTTTTTTCAGATTAAAAAATTTTTTTTAATTTTTTTAAATTTATGCCCAATATTATTATTTTTTACATTAAATTGGTCTACAAATGTTTTTCGAACCAGGAATTCCGCATAAAAATTGTAGGCCTACAGGACTCAAAAATAAATTTATAATTATTTTACAGTTATTTTATTCTTTTTTTTTACTACTGTGTTACTATTTTTATACATTTCCTGTTGTATGCCTAGTTTTAAAGTTTCATTATTAAAATTCCTCTGTTTAATGTAAGTTACCTTTGTACAGATTCACAAATTACTAAATATTATTACTCCATCTTCAGTATATTGGTGCAATTGGTTTATTTAAGTAATGTTATTAAGTATAAAGAGGAAAGCAATCTGTAGGAGCAAAGAAAACTAACACAACTTGTACCTTATTATATACCAGTTTGAACTCAAAGCTCAAGGCGTCAGCAATGTTTACGATTTGTCATGTTGGAACTGTTGAACAAATTGGTGTTTTCTTACATTCTTGATTGATGAGTGGATTACTCGGCCCTTACGTTTTGCCGTCCAAACATTGTCAATGACTGTGTACATCTGGTGCTAATGAATGTGTAGATAACAATTCCGCTAACAAGCACGTTTGAAAAGACAAAATAAAATTAATCTACTGAATTGATGTATTTTGCCTCGCTGTGCATTGGTTTTTAAAGTTCCTACTGTAGTCACTACTACTAGTCGGTTTACATGTTGGACTTTTTCATATAATTCACTACCACTATGTTTTATCAGGTTTGTAAACGAACCCTGAACACTATTCCACACATCTTGTTTAGGGTTATTTTTAGGTTAGGTTTGGTTAGAACCAAGACGTAAGCAAAACCTTAGGTTGTATTTTGTTGCATAAAACTTATGTTATGTTAGTGAACTAACAAAAAAAACTTTAAACATGTTTTACTGTATATTAAACAGTTTATTTTTACAAAAAGAAGAAAATTTGCTTTGTAAATCAAATTATTTTTCCTTTTGTTTAATATAAGTATATATTCTATTTCCTGACATGTTGTTTAATTAATTGTTTTATGTTATGAAATTGGCATCATCACTCCTGCACCTAAGCTTGAGACATTAACCTTTGGCTAGCACAGTCTGAGAAATCTATCAGTTTTCTTTTTGAGGCTGACTTTTACAGCCTTTGGTCCAAACTAACCGTTCATGACATTCACATGAAAACTGACTAATTAATGACTACCTAATTAATTGTGGGTTTGGTTAGCAGGATTAGAACCTGAGTTCCCAGGACAGTATTTTGAGTAGAGTTGGGCTTGATTTAATGTAACAGTATAAATAATATAATATTATAAATTTTTATACTGAAGTGTATAAATTAAGATATCAATTAGTTTACTGAGAATAATCAAATATTTTTCTAGTGAACTGTTAAAACGAACAAATGTAATAAATATCCCGCTGGTGGTGTCTTCCTATTAACAGCGAGCATAAAAATAATATAGTACCTTGATAATACGATTATTTTTGTAACGTCGTCTGAACTGTTAAAACGTGCGAGTGAAATAACGCTGATGGTGTCATCTTCCTATTAATGGTGAGCACCTTAAAATAATATATTTATTACCTTGGTAATATGGTTATTTTTGTAACGTTGTCTGAACTGTTAAAACGTGTGAGTGAAATAACGCTGATGGTGCCGTCTTCTTATTAATGGTCATCATCTTAAAATAATATATTACCTTGGAAATATAATTATTTTTGTAACGTCGTCTAAACTGTTAAAACGTGCGAGTGAAATAACGCTCTCTTTGATCGCTAGCTTAAGAAACAGCTGATCTTTGTCAGTAACAAAGCTACAAAGATCATCTCACACCATTCTACACACATCCTTTACTCATATATTTGTAAAATATGTACTTAGGTGGTGTTCCCATCTCAATTGATGATGATATACTCTAGTTCGGCCACTGTTAAAAATTACAAGTACTAATAATTATAAGGGACAAAACTATTGGTTTTAAATCTGGTTTGTTGAGTGTCTGCACTGGTGTAAATCATCTCACTCAGTTGTAAAATTGCCTTAATCCAATACAATGTTATGGGGGAGTGAGCTTTTTTAGTGGTAGAGCAAGACTTCGGTCCCTGAGGTCTTGGATTCGATTCCCACCAATCACCGATGATTTTTAGCCAAATGATAATGCCACAAACTCTAGATCTAGCCTAAAGCAATTTGAAAAATTATCCCGGGCAAGGACCTAGCGTCTTAGGACAAAAAAATACAACCCTTATGGGAGATTACCAATTTACTGAACACAAATTACATAGTAGGCTATTTGTGCCAACAGACACAAAAAAAAAAAAAAAAAAAACCAGTAGGCCTAACTCACAACAAAAAAGTTGATCTGACATGTAAAACCCTCAACATCTATTATCTCCTGTTTCAAATTTGTCAATAGACTTAACAGTGTGTTTTTGTTGCAGGGAAAAACGGCAAAAAATAGAAGATATAAAAAAGAATATACGTGATGCAATATTGGTAAGTAATTTTGTTATTAAATATTTAGATTTATATTTCCACTTATATTATATTCGTTTAGAAATTCTTCAATGTATGTAACCCCATCTAATCTTTTTAGGTTGAGTTAGGTTTGGTAACCTATTAATGTAACCCAATCATAAATGAGCAATCTAAATCAAAGTTTCCTTTAAAACAAAAAATAATTACTGTGTCAGCGAATTACTTTCTCGGTGGCCAATGTCACTGTGCTTAATTTGGAGGGAATTTGACAACTGAAAGCGTTACGATTGTAACTATTGATTGTAGGATCGGTGAGTCAGTCACCAGAAATACAAATTACGTTACTATCATTAACCAACATAACCTGACTATCATGCACCCTATATATTGCATTTGGCCCTTTGACATAACTAATAAATAGTTTTTTATGTAGGCCTATAAAACTACCTCTTAATCAATACATGAAATCATGTAAAAATATTTAACTAATAGATGTATTTCACTTGAGATTTTAAAAATGAAAAATTACAATCGCAGTAGAGTTATTTGATATAATTTGTAATTTATGTGACTTCAACATATTTTTAAATTCAAGATCACTAATATTTTTGCGTTTTTGCTGTAGCTGTTTAAAAGTATGCCAGATCATAACCGCCTATGTTATAATCTTGTCTAATACTCGTTATGATATAACTGAAATCCAGCTATTTCCTTTAGGAAAAGAAATTTTAAAACGATTACTATAATATATCCTAGTTACGTTAAGTAATGTAACAATAAGTCAGTCTAGCCAATATGTAAAACTCATGAAATCAAGCAAGGAACAAATTATTTTTATACTAATCATATAGCCTTAAACATTAAATTTTAGTTGCGACAAATTTGCAACATTTTGAATGCCCTTAATATTGTTTTCCATATTTACTATTGCATGTACAGTGTGTCCCAGGAAAGGGGTTAGATTTGGTTTTATATTACTTGGGTGTTTAATGTACCAAAAGTTTTGATTCCTTCACAATTATTTATCAAAGTTTGAAAATTTTTGTAAAAAATTCAACTTCATATCGTTTGTAAACAAAATTCTGGCATATAGAAAGATTAGTACCATTTGATTTCTTTACAAATAAATTTTTAGTTTTACCTGATTTGTTAACTGTGTTGCAGTTTTGAAATTTGTTTTTGCTGTATGATTTAATAATTTTTCCCTACTTTAAGCATACTTAAAAAAAAAACAACCTAATCTTCTCAAGTGCAGTTTAACTGAAACCGAAACTCTAATTAATGACTTTTATACACAAAGGTATAGTAAATTTATTCTGGACAAGTTACAAGTTTAACTGCCTTTAAGAGGGTTTTAGCTATTTTCTTTGGCTTTTTCAGTAATTTTTTGTTAATTTAATGGTTTTTATGGCCACGTAATATACAATCAAACGTCTAAACTTCTCCGTGTGACCCGGGCAGAATGACTACCGTGGCACGTGCACATCTAACACATTATCACAGCCTTGTGACTTCTCAGATAATATTACTGCAGACATCTCTATAGTTACTCATAACTCTACTAGACTGTGGGAGTGAGATGGATAATATCTGAGTAAACAGTAATGGTGTGGCCTGTTACTTTATGGTAGGCCTAAATGCTTTCTTTGCGTAAACTAATACATTTTAGCGTTAGGGTTCCAAAATACTTACAAATACTGAACCTAGTATGTCTATATATCGGTAGACTTCTTCAGCTGTTTAAGTTGTTGAACAAACTGTAGGCCTGCACTGTTTTTGGATATATTTGTTTTGATTAAATTTAAATACATGAAAAATTATCTCTCCTCTAAGCTAACTAAATCTATTAAAGCTCATACATAAAAAGCAAATCAATCGGAAAAGTCGTTTAAAACACAATGATTCTCTGTTTTATTCATAGTATAAAATACTTTGACTGAAAAAATCCATCCTTAGGCCTAAACACATTTTTTTTTTATGGTTGGACCTCACACTGTTTTTATATTAGGCCCACAACAATTATTTTATAAGCAAACAGCTTCTTAAGTATAGCATTAAGCTATATAATACACCTGTTACTTTGAATTTTGCAATTTATGATTTTTTTCTGTAGCGTAAGTAAAAAATATCATATAATTAAACCAAACATAATGAAATATTATTTGGATACAGCTTATAAATCACGATTCATGTAAATATCAATCGAGAATTCTTGTTTTCAATGATTTTCTTCAATTTAACTTCTTTACCAGCTGAGATACAACCCCTCCCACTCCACACAATTTTAATAAATAATAATAATGTTAACTTCTACCCTTCCAAATTGATGTAGTTTACTACGGTACGTGTTTCGTCAGCACAGTTACATCATCATGTAATCCGATATTACTTTGTGTTCATTATAAACATAAAACAATCATACCAATACTATTTTGTATCTTGTATTTTTATAGTTTGAGGAAAGGTTATAAGTTTTGCAATGTTACCCCTATATTTTGGTATACAATATTTAGTCCTAGGAGCTAAATAAAGCCTAAACTTCTTACATCTAGTTTATAGGTTAAACATGGTGTGTAGGTTATATATTATTAATTTGTATTTTTTGTTTCAGACGATAACAGGTGCAATGAGTACCTTAACACCTCCCGTACAATTAGAAAAGCCAGAAAATCAATTTAGGTTCGATTATATACAAGACGTAGCGTCGCAACATGACTTCGACTACCCTTCTGTGAGTATTATTTTATACTTAATTAATAAAATTAATTGATAAAAAATGTATGCAAAATAAGTTAGGTTAAGTTGATGTTTTTATTGCTGAAGTGCAGCTAGTTCATGTTTCTTACAGAGATGCTTAAACCAATAACTAAGTCTTGATTTTTAGTAGACAATTAGGCAGGTAAATTAAATTTTTGAAAATAGTGGAACAATTTAATATGTATATTGGATTTTTAAGTAATTTAAAACTTGACTAATGTTTTAAGAATGCCAATTAATTAGGAAACCCTCTAGATTTAAAGGCTTTGGCACATTTTCCCTGAGGAAGGTTTTGAGACTGCTTAGCCTATAAAAATGCCACTGGTGTTTTAAACATAATAATCGTCATCGTCTATTGGGCGATGATGATTACCAATCAAAATCAAAATCGATCATCACCGCCACCTTTTATGTATTTACCGCCTTGTTAAAACAGTATTTAAATGTGGAAATATATGTTTGAAGTGTTATTAGACATGTATTTATTTTTTTCCATGCATAATAAAAACAATTATAATCTGTTGGTGTCCCTCATCTATGACGATTTTGATTTTAAAAACTTGCGACAACTTTAACATGGTTTGGAATGTCCAGTTTATGAGTAGTTCAAGCTTTTTGCTATAAAATGTATCCGATGAAAACCCAAGCCTAAACGATGAGGGTTTTCTAAATATTTGTAAAAGATTTATTAATTGCCACTAGAATTATGCCATGTTAATTGATAAGACGGACATTCTTGTGATCGACTTTCACTCTTGTAAATATTACCTATGTTGTTTTTGGAATTTTATGAACTGAGACACTTTCTCTTGTTTCAGGAATTTTATGAACACACAGAGATCCTTTGGAAGGACAGAGGTGTTCAGGCGTGTTATGAACGTTCAAATGAATACCAGCTGATAGACTGTGCAAAATAGTAAGTGAAATAACATCTTTAAATGCATGCTGCACGTGTTGTAGTTTGTGTTGCAGTTACCGTTGCCGGTTCTAGATTTAATGTTTGTCCATAATCTCGAGTGGTCCAATATTGCCAAATATGCTTTGAAATGAGGGGTTCTTTTAAAGCTTTTGCCTCAGTATGTTTTAATAATTATTTTCAAAGTATTTTGTACCTTGAAAAAGTATTATCTCCATCAAAACAACAGCCAGCTGTTCCATACTAGATAAAGTTTTGTTGATTACAACACGTTTTTCTGAATAAAAAAAATTTACACTTCTTTTAAGTAAATGTGGACACTTTCCACCACTAATTAGTATACCAGTGAAAGAAATCCCCGCAGTTTTTTTTATAAAATAATTTACATCTGTAGCGATGAATTTTGAACTAAGGACATTATAATGTCTATGGACAAGATAAAAACATTACAATTGTATATGTACTTTTCAAAGTGACAACATTTTATTAAATTATTTAGTCTCATGTGGTGTCCAGTTTTTTTGTTATTTTTTAATTTGTAATATAAAAACGTCTAAGTATAGACCTAATAAATACAATTTGTCAGGTTATATCCGTAACCAAAACTAACTAGAAATGAAGCTTGGAAGCGGATTTTTACATTGAGGCAAAAAAATATTTATATTCATAACATAACTTTACTAAAAACAAGCCAGGCTATATTTTACACAGTAAAATTAGATTTTTGTTCGTAAGTACAGCACCCTATTGGGTTGGGTAAATTTAAGTTTGTTTGGAAAAAGTTTACTAGACAATAGCTGGCTTTACTAGTTTAAAATGTGAAACAAAAATGTTGTTAAAATAGGCATTGATCTATAATTGTGTGATTTATTTCTTAACTGTAAAACAATCAATTTGAGTTCCCTTAATGTTTTTCACAGTTGTATGACAGTTATTTAAAAATTTAAACCCTCAATTACAATACTATTATAATATGTTTATTGGCACAAAAAGTAGGCCTTAATATTTGTACTACTGGTGCTTCGTTGCTTTATTATCACTCTAAAAACGTTGTGTATTAGCCTTTCTCTGTAGCAGTTAACACTTTGTAAAGCTCAAAATGTAATCACAGATTTTAAAATAATTAATAACTGTACCTATATGTAATAATGAAAATAAAAAATAGCCACGGAATTATACATGATTATAGCTTGTTCTTTGAAAGACTTGTAAAAGAGTTTGAAGTGTATAATTAGGAATACTGCTGCCAAAGTGTTAGGTCTATTTCCAAACATGAGGTGTGGATGATAAGTGTATCTTTGTAGTTATTTTAGTTGTATCCATCAAAGATAGATGCACCCGGAAGTGAATTTGCTTAGATGTCTTATTTCAATATCCAATTATCATTATTCATACAACAAATACTGTTTACAATTTACTCAAACAGCAATTGACAAATAATATACATAATACAAAAAATTGTTATAACCAAATACAAATTGTGTATGAATAGGTAGATACCTAATTTTTTGTGTGTTGAGGAACTATAAAACCATAGGAACCATCAGGAACGATGATACTCGTCCTCATTTTTGGTTCTAACGTATTTTTGTCTGCCAAAGGTTTTATTTTATTTATTCCTTTTTTACAAAATGTAAAAGCTTTAACGTTTCTGCAGGGAAAATGGAAATTCTCGTGATCTAACATTAACCGTCGGTATAAAACTTGTTAAGATGTAAATTTAAGAAATTGCTTTTAAAAAAAGGAGAAAAAATTACTCTTTTTGGGATCAAACCGGATAATTATTGGATTTTAAATTCAGTTGTAACTTAGGCCTATCTTTTAACCACACCAATTTTATGGTGCAATTTGATGATTAAAAATAACCTAATAATATTATTAGAAGTGAATAAGAAGAAACTAAATAAATATCTACAAATTATTCATGATTAAATTTACCGTAATTTATATTTCAATAGTGTAATATTTTGTGAATAAGAATTTAGTTGACTATTTAAGAGCCAAAGGAGGAGGTTAGGGATTTGAATAAATTCATCTTCTCAACCATTTATTAACAACCCACAAAAAATTTACTGTAGTCCTACATCCATCAAAGTTTGTAAATTTCGCTATTGCTTGATAAAGAATCAGAGTTTGTCATTTATTTTCTGTTGAAACAAAAATCATCAATGTATTAATTTAGTTGGAAATTAAACTTTTCAGAAGCCACAAAGTATGCTTAATTTTATAGGATTCCAAATCGTGCGGGTAATCAATTAGATAAGTTGAAATTTTAAAGAACTTTTAATGTGCTTACGTGATTTTTCTGTTTCTGTAATGTTTTGAACTTTGCACGAGCCAAGCAAAAAGAATTTCGTCTTAGGTTATTTAATACTTAGGATAATTGAAGAGAGTACTTTTTAACTGTGCTTGATCAAATGTTGCTGTTCTTTAAAAAAAATTTTACTTGGGAAGCTCAGGGGAAAAAGTTAACCAGCTCAACATTTTGTATTACTTAAGGATAAAATTTTATGTAAACAAACTAAAAAGGTAAATCAGCTGTAAACTTTCACATCAGTATACATTGAGGTGTCCGCTCGACCATGTTTCACTGTTTAGAAGGCGTGTTATCTTACGAAGGTAATTTGCCTGCCAACTGTTAAATAATTAGCAGGCGGTGGATGAATCACTCTATCTATTCACGAGCTCCGTCAAACAGCGAATCTCGAGCTGCTGTTCATTTGGAAGATTAGTGAACATTTTTCAGCTTAGTTGTAATATAGAAGCGGGCTAAAAAACTTGTACAAGAATATTTTAAAATTTGGATCTCCAGCCAACATTATACACACTCAGGAAATCCATTAGGTCTACCATGATAAAAAATATTGTAATGAGCCATACTTTTAAAATTTTAAAATAATCATTTATTACACATTATTATTAAATTGGACACTTTGATAGCAGAAACCTCAATAATGATTAAAATACTTCTTATCGAGGTACTTATGCAGTAAATATTTTTTAGTAAAGAATTGTTTTAACAAGCCCTCAATAGCAAGAAAACTTCCATTGCATTTACATGATTTTCATAATATTATTAGGCCTACTGGTTTTTTACTTAACTGCAAAGAAATCTTGAATGCAAGTAAAATATTATATTTTTCGTAAACATTATAATTTTAAATTCAAAATAAATTTTTTTAAACTGTTTCATATCCAAGGAGTTAACCTGTTGAGAGTTTAATGTGCCGAATTAAACCTTCTATTGCATGGTTCAAGAAAAATTATTAAGTCCACATTTTTTGTAAAAGATTTAATACAATTTGAAAAAATTTTCTAAACAAGCAAATTTTTATTGTTTTCACTGAAATAACGGTTTGTGTAATTTTTCTTCAACATCAAAATGAACCGGGATAATAAAAATTATTACTGATTGACAATCTCTTAGGAGCCCAGTAAATATATTGAAATGCATAAGAAATCAGTATACCGTACACCCTACGCCAAATAAATGAGGAAAATACAAAAATTGTTGAAGTTGTTACTTATTTTATCTATTTAATCTGCATTTAAATAAAATAGTGGACTAAATATTAGGTTCAAAATATTTAAATTTAACAATTATTTTTCCCCATTTGATTGTGATAGTAAAGTTTAGCCGGGCAGACAGTGCTGATATAGGTTCAGGACTGGTGCTGTGGTCTCGGGCGCTATTGATCGTTCCTCCTTCTCACCCCCTCCCCCCCACCTACCCCCCAAGATTCACCTGCCGCGCCGCGCCGTACTACTGTTACTACACTTCACGGAAAACACTCCAAATGCCTCATTACTTCAAAGGTGCCCCGGCACCCGCGTACTTCTGTAGAATGCACCACTATAAGATGGGGTGCAGAATGATTTTGGTGCTGTGGTTGTTAAAAGCTTGCTGTTAACTAGAATTCTGCAGCATCTTAGGTAGAAATATATTGAAGGTGTTAAGGGTTCTTTTGTCGCATCAAAATACATAACTCAAATATTACTTGTAGGGTGGTTACGTAAGAACATAAGGCATATTTCAGAAAAAAAGCCGTTTAAATTTAATATGATAGGTACAAACAATTATTAAAATGTGTTTCTGATAAAACACCACCTCTCTTTTACTTGTTTGCCTCCATTTTTTTTACTTAATTTGTTCGGTAAAAAATTATAAGTCAGTTACTTACATGGTTATTTATTTTTCTGTTTGTTTTGTTGACTTGATTCCCAAAATCATTGAACCAACTTATGTCCACATGTAAATTGCCTATTCTAATATTGTTGCGTACAAATTTAATGGTATTCTTACATTCGTCCCTTAATTAAATCCTAAACAAAGTTTTATTGTGCAAATATAGGAGCATATTCATTTCTAGTTGTTAAAATGTATAAATAAAATAAAATGTCTTTTTTATAAATATTGTATGCAATTTTTTTAAATTTTATTTTTAACTTTTTGTCAGTAGCTACAAAATTGTATAAACAATAGGTAGAAGAAAGTAAAAATTACCAGTTGAAAGGGTTCCTTATCCCTTTTAAAATTTGACAATTTATTTATACTTTGCAAATAATATTTATGTTTAGCAAATTTTTTATATTTTAAAATGTTTATATGATATACAGTTTTATCATATGTTTAAACATGCTGATTTTATACTTAATAGGCATAACTTATTCTTTTATATTCTTCGCGTCTGTTCAGTGTAAATGGTCCTGGCTAAAGAAACATCTGATCTTTGTAACAAAGCTACAAACATCTCGTTCCTTTTAGCGAATTTCCCATATATTGAATAAGCTATTACCATGGGTCTCATGGTAAGACCTAGACCCGGGACCGATTTACTTTTTCATTTTGATGTCCACAGAGGCCAAAAACACCATCCGTTCAAATTCATATATATATATACATATATGTCGGTTAGTACGATAACTCAAGCAAAAATGATCTGATTTTGATGAAATTTGGTACAACTCATTATTGACACAAAAAAATTCCCAATTTCCCT